GTGTGCGTGTGTGTGCGTGTGTGTGTGTGTGTGTGTGTGTGTGTGTGTGTGTGTGTGTGTGTGTGTGTGTGTGCATATGGAGCGCACTTCTGCAATCAGATGCTTAGCACTACTGTTGGGGCGGACGCAGTCACCAATCGAGCTCCCCAACACGCCGATCGCACTTCATCGCCACTTGCTGTTCCTGCCTCTCCCGCTTCCACAGGTGGTTGGAGGCTTGACCGCCCTAGCGTCGGTAACAATGGTTGAGCCGACCTCATCTGCTGTGGCGGCGGCGGCGCCGCGCCTCGATGGTCGACGGACCCATGGGCTTGAGATTTAAGAGTGACTGGTTGTGGTTGATCTCCGTCTCATTGGAAGGGCGGGTGCTGGCTTGCTAGCACGCTCACACCGCTTTCCCAATGTGCACGCGCTGGCCGTGCCATTGTGAGTTCCTGTCTGTGCTGCGTGTCCTGGCTTATCCTGGGCTGTGTGAAAGGGGCGTAGGCGGCCCAGGGCTGCGCTCAACCGGGGATGCGCGGCACGGCGCAGCGCGGTGGTCTCTGTGAAAGGCAGATGCCCGCCCTGCCGTCTGCGCCGCTGTTCCCTTTTCCCGTCCCTGTGGGTAACTAAGAATATGATTGGAACCCCTGCAATTAGTTGAATCATAAAACCCCATCCTCATAAAGCAAAGATGTCTGGTCTCGGTGAGGACAGCCACGATGATTGCATGAAAGCATGGGTGCATGTCAGGGTGGCCAGGAGAAGTGATTAGCGCTGTCTTGAGGGAGAAAAGTGCCAGCAGGGCATGAACGGGGGTTGTGGGCTGCATGCAGGTTGTGTCATCCAAATAGTCAGTCAGCAAGTGGGCACGCTGATGGAAAGGGGAGGTGCGGTCCAGCAGACGCAACATGGTTTTGAAAGGCTGAGTGACGCCTTGCCTGAGCGGTCACACATGGGGAGCGCCCCAGAATGTATGGTCGCAGGGATGCAACCTTTTTAAAAGCTGGGATGCCGTGGCCCCGTCAATCTCGCCGGCGCCACTAGTTCCACATACACACAAGCACCTGCCGTTGCCCCACGCGGAACATGATAATGCACCGCTCATCAATGCAGGCACGTTGAACACGCCTCGCCGCGCCTCACGCGTGCTCTTCCAACTGCCACATGCATTCCGGGCACGCACGGTCGACGTGCCCCCGCGCCCGCATGACCATGCCCGGCCCGCCCGCCGCGCGACTGGCCGCCCCCGCCCGCTCGACAGCCGCCGCTCGCTCCTCCGCGCCCGCCGGGCGGATCGGCCATACCAGCCCCTCCGGGAGCGGTGCCGGCTCCGCCTCAACCTCGATGCTGTGCAGCCCCGGGATTGCTGCCAGCTCCCGCAGCACCCACTCTGGCGGCACCAGGCTGCCTCTGAAGACCAGAGTGCGCAGCCCCTTCGCGCCCCGCGAAAACGCCGCGAGCGGCTCCGGCCCCCAGTCGGAGCCACGCACGTAAGCGCTCATCCACGCCGCGTCCAAACTGACGGTCAGCGCCGAGAGCCGCGGCAGCTGCGCCGCAGCCTCGAGCGCCGCGGCCACGGGGACCGGGGGCATGTCAGCGTAGGCGGCGGCCTCGGCGGCCATAATGGCATCGAAGCCGCCTCCAGGCTCGCCGCCGCCCCCGCCGTCGCCAGCGCCCCCAAATGCGTGCTCCTCCTCCTCCTCCGCCGCCTGCTCCTCGGAATCCTCGTCATCACGACGCTCCCGCGGGCTCGCATCGCTCAGCAGCTTCAGCTCCAACCGCTCCACGGAGGTTATGCTCGACAGCCGCGCGAGCGCCGCGCGGTCGCACGCGTCGAGGGACACCCTGAGATGCGTCAGCCGCCCCGGCGTCGCGGCGGCGGCGGCCGCGGCCGCGTCCCAGGCCGCCGGCGTCAGGCCTTCCTCGGGGTGGTTGTTCAAGGCGAGCGAGCGCAGGCCGGTGGCGGCGGCCAGGACGCGGGCGACGTCGAACTCCTCGATCTCGTCGTTGAGCGTTTCCACCAAACTGCTGCACAGGTTCAGGTGCTCAACGGCGGGGAACACCGCATCAAACTGCACCTTGGCAAAGCCGGGGTCTGCGTGGACGTGCAGGTGCGTCAAGCTCTCAAAGGCAAACCCCAGCGGCGGCGCCCAGTCGGATTCCTCTTCGGTCCAGCACGCCAGCCGCCGCAGCCGCGGCGCGGCCGCCGCGAGGCGCGCGGCGTCGTCCGGGCCGAGGCTGACGCCGCTCAGGCGCTGGAGCAAGGGAAAGCACCTGGGCTGCAGCGCCTGTCGGATGCGTGCGGTGTCCTTGATCCACGACAGCCGGAGGCTGGTGAGTGCGTTGAGCTGCAGCTGCGGCCGCTCCCAGCGCTCATCGACGTCCCCGGCCACAACCTTGGACAGCCGCGGGCACAGTCCGAGGCAGCGCCCGACCTCCTCGTTGATTGCCATGCGTGGGGCGACCACGGACTCGAGGCTGCGCACGCCGCCGCGGGCCGTGAGGGCGACGACCGCCTGCTGTGCGGCGTCAGCATCGGCGGCGTTGGCAGCATCGACGCGGGGGTCGTGCGGCAAGCCATGGTCCTGAGTGGCGCGGGGGCGGCCCACTGACAGGCGCCTCAGGTTTGGGAGTGCCTTGAGGAGGGCCAGCAGGGCGTCCCTCCCCATGCCCCCGGCGATACCAAGATCCTCAACCCTGCCC